AATCACAATGCACTGAGTCAGCTGGCCAATCAGAGCAGACTGCGCTTGTCGGAAGGAGGGACTTTGTTGAAAACGAAGCGTTTGAGAGAGGCGGGGCATAGAGGACCTACAATAATGTACAGTATTTGAAAAATAATGTGTTTTTTGAACATTAAAGCATGTCAACATATTCTGTTACACCAAATACACAAAATAATGATCTTTAAAATAGCATCATATGACCCCTTTAAAAAGTTTCAACCATTTATTTTTTTTTTATTATACAAATGTAAGTGTACATCTGTTCATTTTTAACATTGGTGTGTTGAATATAAAATAGAACGAGAGAGAAATAATTATGGGCAATAAATAAGACTAAAGACTTTCTTTATTTACAGATGATGAAGGACTGGTCTGTGTGGCAGGATTTGTTCAAGCCTTGTGGGTGCTTGCATTTTCTGAAGTTCCTGTCTATTATGAGAGTAAAGTACCGATCAGCTTCTTTCTCGTTCATGTGTTTTTTTTTTTTCAGTCCTTCTGTTTCATTCTCATCCACAAAGCTTAAGGTCTGGATAAGTGTTGTGATTCTGCCGGGGATTATTATACTGCAGCCAATCAGAAAACCATCACTGTGTCTAAAATCATTAATTCCTTCACTCATTCACAATTCCTTAATGAACTAACAAAATGTTTAACTCTGACCTACAGAGCTCAGCCAGAGGAAAATTGTGTTCCTGTATGGATCAGCTGGTCTTGTTTTAGTGAACTCGGCTGCACTGATGACAGAACTGATAATGAAAGCAGGTGAGTGAACACAACATTTTAATGAGATTCCTAAGGCCATGTAAGATCAAAACTGTTTGCTTAAAATAAATCTCCTTCCACAGTTTGTGGTGTACGCCTGGTGGGAGATTTGAGAGTCATTGTCTTTCCATCTGAGTGGCTTTTCACTGTATCACTGCTGATTTTATCCATTTTTGCATCCCGTGAGTAATGAAATGAAATGGATTTTATCACTATGCGTGAATCATCCATAATGCTATCTTTTGTATTTGCCTCATTTGTGCATTAACTGAGGCTGATTAATTTACACGGATCCTCAAATCTTTACCTTTCTCACATCTCAGGCAAAACTGTCAACACAGAGTCTTCTCAGGTATAGTTTTATGATGAATTTGGTTCATTAATACAATAATTTTAAATATACTTGCATTTAAAGTGGACGAAGTAAAACAATAGGAAGATGTCAAATAGATGTTTAAAATGCATTTGTCTTCTTATCGCAGATGGCGTCAGATTATAATGGGACTCCTGGTACAAAGCATACCAGTATAGATATGAACCAGACGACTGGAGAATCCCATGAAATGGAAACTCTGAGAAAAGTAGCTGGGAACAGTGAGGAGCATCAAGAAGAGGAGATCAACTAACAGTAAAGTGAACTGCACTTTCTAAAAGATCTGACATGGTATGAAACATTTCTGAGGGTAAGACTTTCGAACATGCCATTTTTTTTGTCTGCATAACTTTTAGCAGCAGAGACTGGTGCACATCGTCATGGTTCGGGCTGAATTATTTTTTTTATATCTGCGATGTTGTGCCATTGATATTGTGGTATGTTGTTTGTGGTCGCCAAACTATACTGAATTCTACTTTGAAGTGACTCAAAAATTGTTTATATACTCTCAAACGTTTGTATTTGTATGCATTTAAATATTTTACATGTAATATGTATGTAAAAAAAAAAAAGTACTTTCTCATCTTTGTTCTTATGTTATTGCTGACTTTTCTTTAAGAGTGCTTAGAGCACTTACAACAATATTTACTAAAGCAATCAGCATTATTTTTTTCTCTGCAGTACCAAAATGGGTATTGGTTAATGTTAAATTTGACTGTAACTGTATTGTGACTCTCTTTCAAGGGTAGGTGTATGTTTCTGGCTAGAGTAAGCTGCAAAGTGGATCCAGAGTTGAATGTATAACATAATATGCTCTTCTGTTGCTTTTTTTCCACTGACATTTTCTGTGAAACATGTTCTACCTTTTCATTTTCTGTGA